TAAGACTTCCCTGTAGCTTCTGTACTTCATTGTATTAAGACTTCCCTGTAGCTTCTGTACTTCATTGTATTAAGACTTCCCTGTAGCTTCTGTACATATTTGTACATACTTCAAGTTCAAAGTTTTCAAGATGAGCTACCAACGAGGTTAACTATTTATAGTACTGGCATTATGGTATTCATTGTGCATATAAATGAAATTGAAGAAACGCTACTTTTAATTTAAGTTAGAACATGTTTAAAATACAGCAATGAAATATTTCACAACTAATAGTATAATTTACATATGCGTATTTCGTTGTTCGCTATTGTAAAAGACCTCGAATTGTGGCTCATTGTGATGAACAATTTCACCAACTTGATCCCTAAATCATGTTCTGATTCCAGACTTACCTGCACGGGAAATCTGTCCGGCGTTTTCGAGCTTCCATTTTACAAGTTGGAAAGTTGGGGACGACGACACGTCAATCTGTGAAGCAACTGCTCGGCACAGCGAGGACAAGGCAGCAGCCGCGCAGGAGCACGCGTTTGACATCAACGCCGTGCCCGAGCCTCTTGTTGATGATGCTTATGTCGACCAGGCCGACTATCCCAGTGAGTTGATGAGCGTCACCACTCACTTTTGTGACTCTCAAGTTACTACACTAAGGTTATTGCCATTCGATCATTTTTATTCTGTCTCTTTATTCTTGTGCGTTAAATGGTCTTTTCAGGTAAGTTTTAAGTTACCAATTTTTTGCAAATTTTAATATCTAGCGCACTATGGCATTCTTTTTCAGTTACCGCAGAAATTAATGTCTTGCTTTTTAGATTATGGGTACAAAAAACATCTTCCTCGAACTAGTCTGCATTATTCTATCATTTCCTGAATATAGCGCCACGCCCTAGAATTACCTGCGTTGAGCTGCTCAACATTCACCAGGTCTGGATGACGTGGCAGACGACGACGATGACACGGCGTGCGCCACGCTCGGCGTAGGCGGCAACAACACCTGCCTCACTGTGGGCTGGGGCGGCCAGCATGCAGGCTCCTCCATCACCGTCCCGCCCTCCTTGGAGGCCGTCCATCTCAAGCAACATCTCGCAACCTCGACACAGGTGCTCTATTTCTCTTCCCCCACATGCATCATCAATCAACTTGCAGATGAGTTATGGTGTCTAATTTTATTGTAGTGGTGAGCGAAATTCTGATCCTGCGAAGTTGTGTTGTCCAGTGAAATTATGTTCTGTGGTGAAAATTGCGCTCGCCAGTATAATTATAAAATGGCCTCATCCAGTATTGTATTTACGTTGCTGTGCAGGAGTACAGCTGTATAGGTTCATGCCTAACCTAGTATTGTATTCGTGTTGCTGTGCAGGAGTACAGCTGCATAGGTTCATGCCTCACCTAGTATTGTATTCGTGTTGCTGTGCAGGAGTACAGCTATTTTGATACGCGAGTCATGTCAGCTTGGGCTGGGCCAGGTCACTGGAAGTTCAAGGCGATGGCTGCTAAAGGTTAGTTTCTTGACCGAGTTAAACGTCGTCCATATCTTCATTACCAGGAATTCTGAACTGATATTCTTCACTTCTTTGCTGGTGATCACGAAGGATACAATTATTAGTATTTAATAAAGATACATGCAATTCCTGTTAATTAGACGTATGTTTTCTGATTCCAAACAAGCTACTAGCTCCAATAACACAAATCCACTAAGCATTGTTAAATATGTTTCGTATAACCCATAATAAAGATGTAAAATTTATAAATATATTTTTCTGTCCACTGGAGTACCACTGTAGAGTAATCAACATTTGTTTTGCCCTCGCAAAATTATCACCATTTCTTTGCTGAAAAGTAGCAACACATTCAAATTAAATTCATCTTAACTGATGCAGACAGAGTAGCAGCTTCAGGCACCACGACCGGTGAGAAGAAACGCAAGAAAGATCCGTTTGAGCTGAACTTCCGCCTGACTGACAAGGTGCGCTCGGAGCTGGACAAGTTGCTCAGCCGCGGCCGCACTGACAACAAACTCACGCAGTACACAATCAAGAAATGGTGCGAGGCGAACACCACACTGCCTGCTGACCTACGCTTCGACCCTGCCGACTTTTCTAAGTGAGATTAATGAAGATGGTTACCCAGAGAGCATGTGTTAACGTCTTTGATCAATCTTTAGTATCCTTCTTGAGATTTTCCTCAAAGCAACGAGTGGAAATAATTTCTGTATTTAGAGGTTTGTTCTAAGGCCATCATTTGAAACAGTTCTTTGAGAAAATTATAATCACAGATGAATTTATTTATTGTGTATATGTATCAAAGGAAATGATTTTGTGGATTAGCAAGGTAGCGATTGATCATGTCTGGTATCACTGTGAGAACTTGTATATCTTTTTTTATTTTTTTTTATTTTGAGACGCATGACATGCTGGTAATATAACTTCATTGAATTTGCCGGAAAAAATGAAATTAACAAATAATGTTTTCCAGCTTAGGTATGAGTGAAGTGGCATATTGAATATTATCTGTTATCCAGAGACAAATTTTGTTTGAATCATTTTAAGATCGTGCATTTAAGTACTCTCGAAGCATCGATTTTAGTTTGTAATGCCCACTTTTGTCCAGACTCCACGGGCGGGACGAGCTTGTGGTGCGACGGGAGGCGGGCGCTCCCGACGCCCCAGAAGAAGAGAAGCCTGTGGACGGCTCTGCTGCTCCGCAATATCCTGACGAAGATGACGACGGCTGCCAGGATAACGTCAGAATCCCAATACTTTTTCATTCTAAAGATTTAGAATAGAAGTGTCGGCGTTGAAGAAATAGGCCCATGGCCTTGACTGACATTTATGAGCCTTGATTTATGAGCCTTGACTGACATTTAGTGTGGTCTGGTTGCCTTTAAAACGGCACAAATATTAATTCTATCTTCAAAACAATCTGCTATTGGTTACTTCGTTCATATATACAATGGTCATTCTTAGTCGTCTGAATTCAGCGGTGATCGCAATAATCACTTTTTTTCCGAGTGTGAGGATCATTAAAGTTTTTTGCAGTTAATTTACAGTTACTTGTGTTTGTGTAAACTTATGTTTAATTAACGAAGACATTTATTTTTTCAGCAGGGAGACACATCAGGAGGTGGGTACGACATGACCCTCTTCAGCCAGACTCTTGCTCCTAACCTCCCTGCCTCGTGTGCGCCTGCTGACTTCCTTGGCGATAACCTCGTGTCTGCCCCCAACAAGGTACTCGCTGCTCGCCTTGTTTGTGATGTTCATGTTCAGCCGTAGCCTTGCAATTCACTAAATAAAGTTATTAGGTCCGTGTCATGAAGCACAAACACATTCTGTTTAGAGATTTTTGACTACAACTCTTCGAGTTGTAATTTTTTATTCTGGCCTGACCCGAAAAATTTATTTCGAACGGTGTGTGATAAATAGTTTGGCAATGAACATCAATCGTCTAAGCTGATATGTTGTATGTATGCAATGTATGCTTGTTTTAATGCACACATCGCTCTACTGGAAATACCTCTAATTTTTTAAAGAATATTTATTCCAGTCTGTTGGTTTCTACAGCATTCCTATACTTGTGATTGAAATATTTACAACCCCCATAATCATTCTTACCCTCCTCCTGCTACCCGCGCTCTAGGTAGCAAAGATTAACATCGGCTACGCCCGAACAGCAAAGCGTATGGACATGAAGAAATTGAAAGGAACTGTGTGGCAGATGCTGACTCCTTCAATGCAAGACAAAGAAAACGACAGGAAGTGAGTATTGTAGAGCTCAAGTGTCTATTCACAGGTTTATTTAGTAAGCAACAAATTGATTGCATGTGTCGTGACTCGTGAAGCAAGTAATTGTTTTGAACAGCTTGATAGTAGAAATATTTATATGACTAAAATACTTAGATGTAGATTATGCATTAATAAAACGATAAAACTGGAGGATTCACAATGGGTTTCATAAGGTGGAGGCTGCAGTTCTGACACGGTTTGTTAAGTTGCAGAAAAAGTTTTCACGCTGGTGATGTAAGATTTTCTTGAATACATCCGCCCTTAAGACTCATTTGCTAAATTGTAGTTTGTAATATTGATTATGTTTATCATAGATAGAACATACTCTTCATCAAAATGGAATTTTTTGTGTTCAGCTCATAAAATTTTCTTCAGCAGTGCCAACGTAGACCAGTCGGGAAAGCCTACCAATGATCGGATGGCAGTCGGGCAGCGCTACAAGTTCTCAGAAGTTTATCGCACTTTACCCAACCGCCTCAACGCTAGCATGGCCGAGAATCTTTCATTTCCTCTTGCATTTATTGCTCTCTTGCATCTGTGTAATGAAAAGAATTTAGTGCTCACTCCTGATGGTAACCTGTCTGACTTTATTGTGCAGCAAGACTAACCTTTTTGCTGTATATTGTGTGAACCGTGTAATATATACATTTAATTTAGCAGCGATGCCTGCTCTTGCGCCGTCAATCCTATTCGACACTGATAAATTTTGATGTGGTGCCTTGAACGGTATTCTATGAATCTGTGGATGTTTGGTGCATCTGTACCTGCTTGTCTTCAACCTTACTTACATTTTATTGCACGCGGTAGAACATAATTGTTTTCTGTTGCTTAACATTCGACGCTGCATTGCCGCTTTTTTCTAGATAGAGAATAGATGTAGCATTTTCCATCATTCAGCTGTGTTACGTGAACAAGACAACGGACAGCGCTTTCTTCTTCTCCTGACATCAAGAATCTGACTTGTAGTAATAGCATTCCTTGTTTCTTCAAAGTTAATACAGTCTTAATCATCATTGTTTAGATTTCTGTTGCTATTTAGAAGACTTCTTCTTTCATTGATGCAAGTTTACAGTTTTATGTGTAGTGGTAGGGATAGCATTTTCGCTATACTCGCGCTCGTTTCAAATTTCGCCTTAATTCCTGTGGCTTCTTGCTCTACGCGGATTCTGCTTTAGTTAGTTTCAACGTACATGCTACGAAATATATAAAACGTATGACTGGAGCACAGATGATCCACAAATACCTGACATCAATTGTTTTGGCAGCCAAATGCTTTGACTGTAACGTCTCGGCGCCAAGCCGCCATTGACAGTGCCTGCCTTCGTACTTGCCGGGCCCGCGTGCTGCTGCTAAACAGAAGCCAGTCAGACTGTACTCAGAAATTCATGTCAGTTAATCTATGCATTCCTAAAGTTATCTAAACTTACATTTTGTGCAAAAATTTTTTAATAAGTGTGTGATTTTAGCTTTTTCAGTTGAGTGCATTTTAGTTAGAACTTTCTTCTATGATTCTGGCTTATATGAATTAGTTGTACCTGTGCTCTGATAGCTTTTCCACTGCTCATTTGTGTACATGTTAGTTTTATTTAAACTTATTCAACTGATCTTTCGTGCAAAGTATCTAATATTATTTTGACGTTAAACCGCTGAAAAATGTTAGCAAAGCTGATTTCTTTGATATAATTTTTATGGGTGTATTCTGATTCTTGAGAAGCACAAGCTTGAAATTTCTTCAAAGCTATCCGGGTAATTAGCAATTTTATTTTCTTTATTGAGCAAGTCTCCAAATGCTATATAGTTAGTATTAGACATGGTAGTATTAGAGGACTATTTTTGCCGATTAAATGTGCATGAGAATTTCTTGTAATGTTCAAAATTGTGTATTTGTACTTAGCCAATGTTGAACTTAGGCCCTTTGCCTCAAAGGATGTGCTTTAGATTTCTACATACTCTTTTTGCTTTCAATAGAGAAGTTGTTTTGACTTTTTCTGATCAATCTTATCTCTTTTTTTTCTGCATGGAAATCACTGTTATTTTAACGACTTTAAAGAATGTATTATCGGGAGCCTATTTTCTCAAGCCTTGTATCAACTCAAATAAGCCTTGAGGAACAATTGATAAATCACGAATTTTTTGTGTGCGTTCTCTAATTTCTAATAGCCTTTTTATGATGAATGATGAAGTTCATGATTAATGCAGAAATATTTGAAATACCTTCTAGGACCGGAGTTTTTCAACAGTATCTCAAGCAGTAAACAGGCGTAGGCGATTTGCTTTCACGTGGTTTGCAGTTGTAGCGACTAAAAAATATTTCAGTCTGCTCTTATGAGGTCATGTAATTTTTACTAATTCAAACCAACAGCAAGACATCTATATTCCAGTCGGTTTCCAAGCGTAATTTAGGCTGATGTACACACGTTTACCAATATTTGATTAAAGTTTTTGTGACCTATTTTATAAATTGGATGAACTTGGCTCGTGTACATAAATATGCTCGTTCGTGGAATTTTTTTTATCCTGTCTGCATTTTTCCCTTATTTCTTTATAGTAGTGAATTGCTATAAATTACTAGTTGATTTTCTCATGCCATAAAACTATGATGTAACAGATTCTGCTACTTGAGTTTAAAAGGCGAAATCGCTCGCTCTTCACCACAAAACCAAGAGCATAAATCTCGAATTCGAAAAATTGTTGAATTGAACTCGATAAGTGAACTCATGAATTGAAATCGATAAGTTTCGTTGAAGGGTTTATTTACTGAGGCGCGAAAAGGTTCTTTCATATGCAATTGGCAATGAGCAATTAGTCCCAGAAGGGAATTTTTCTGAACAACATCATGGAGGAACCTAGACTGCGTCCTTGGCTCTGTTTGAAGTCTCGAAGATTGGAGTGCGCAGCTGCCCGACTAAGAATAGGACATGCTGGTGTCAGAAGCCACCTCCATAGGTTCAACATGAGCAACTCCGATCAATGCATCACCTGCAGCACAACAGATACAATTGAGCACTTCCTATTGCAATGTCAACGTCATGTACAGCCCAGACAAGAACTGGAGACTAATTTAAGATTTTTAAATGTACCATTTACTATACGTGACCTCCTGGGGGATTTCTTGTGCCATGTTTGCCCTGTTTTCCACAGTTTGCATCCTGAGCCACTGTATCCACTGACCTACTATAAACAAGAATTCAGTGGTTACCTACTCAGAAGTATTTAAACGCAATACAGGCTCTCAGGCCCAACGGCCGTCCTCGAGGTCGACCTGTGGCTTTAAGTCTACCCAGTGTAGACACCCCGAAAAGAAGAAGAAGAATGAGCAATTAGGCGCATTTTAGGTTCAGCAGATGTACGTATGATCAAACTTATTTGAAGCTTTTGAAAAATGAGAATACACTATTTAATAAATTTTTAAGCTGTATGCATGTTAATGCTGCGAAACCTTTTCGCTGCTGAAAAAATATCCAATGAATAAATTTTACCAAAAAATCTATTCATTGCATGGGTGATTTAAAACGAGACAAACGTCCAACTTCTACATATAACTATAATTTGGGTTTTTATTCTAGATTAGGGTTTATTCTAGACACGCTAATTCTCATTCATCTCTTCAGTAATTAAAATTCATCTTAAAGAATGTGCTCATACCACAAGTCTCGATCAATTATTATTCAGTTAAATAAACGTTAAAGTGTATGTTATAAAATACTTCAATCAGAATCGTATCACTTGCTAAAAAATTTGGTTATTCCTATTTTGAGCCGTTTCGTTGTCAACAACTGTCTGGCAACATCGAACTTCTTTCTAGTATAGTGAAGTGCTGTTGCGGCCCTTGACTGGCGATAACAAAGTGAGTGAATTTTCATGTAAAATAATTGTGACTTATTAATATACTGAATTTATGTTGGAGTCCATTGAATATACAGTTTGTTTCTGTAGTATGTTTGTGTAGTTGTAACTTAGTTGTTGCCAGCGAGTTGGAGCGGAGATTCTCAGCCTGGAGTGAGATTCTTGGCCCTGGACCTGGAGTGAGGTCCCCGTGAGTGAACTGGCTTAGGACTTTAGGAGTGTTTATTTCTTAGAAAATGTTAGAATAGGCTTGTGCCCAAATCTAACGTTGAAACAGTTCTTTCATTTATTTCAAACTGTCACAGCTGGAGCTGGTGAATAAGTGGTGATGCATGCATTGTCAAATGTCAATCCTATGATAGGATTGACACCTAGCAAATTCAAGCTAGCATCATTTATAGACGTGATAATGGATAGAAAATGTTGCCTGTCATCCTGACAGGTAGCAGTGTCAAGTCATAGCTAGGTGTGAGGAGTAAATTCATAGTGAAAAAGCAGAGTTTTTTTTAGATTCTTTCTCAAGTTTATTTTTGAGTCCTGTAACATAAGTAGACCAGGAAAGTATCATGGATACCAGCAATGTCATGTATAGGAAATTGGTTTAAATCTTGTAGATGAGGAAATTGAAAATAAACTAGGCTAGTTGAAAAATCTGATTTGTGACTAAGCTGGGTTATGATGATTTAAGAATAAATAAACATGGATGAAACATTTCAACTTGCATAAGAAGACTTACAAAGCTTAATATAAAAGAAAAAGTTGAGAAGTATTGGAATTATCCACAATGTCATTATGTCAGAATATGGTGGCGGTGCATTTACCCTAGCTAGGGTAAACGCGGTAGATTCCAACACATTAAGGACGCATCAAGAAATGAAAAACTATAAAAAAATAACCGTATGCGTTACTCGAGTTCTGTTTGCTTTATGAGTCTATGTGACTTGCAAAACACCGTGCTACGCGCCAGGCCGCCAGCAACGATGAAAAGTCACAAAATGTTGCCATATTTATTTAAAAGCCTTTAGAATGCAAACCTACCAAATCCCTATATTCTGTCACTGTGTTTGGCAATATTCGGCACGTGGTGAGGCGTATTCCGTCCGCGCTTCAAATTCTACTGATGCGTAATGCCATCATCCACGTGTTCGAATTCCGTTCGCTGTGTGCGCTGTATTGGAATACAATACAGCTTTGAATTAGAACTCTAATGAATATTGAACACTACTTAATTACGCTTTTAATTAACAACTATTAGGCTTTTAATTAAGCAAATTTTAATTTTTGTATATAGCTTGGAACAATCTGTGTGTCCAATTCAAGTTGTGACGGAATTAGTTTTCATGTGTCTAAATCCATTTCTCAACTTAATCATCTATTAATTTATTTACCACTTGAAATCAGCGAATACAACTATACAAGTATACTTAAAGGATTCCTAATATATTCACAAGCGTATTTAAAAGTCTCAAACCATAATATTCTTCCCATACAAACAGTTATTCACTATTTGGTAGAGCAAGGTCAACTGTCAAATTTGACACATTTTTCGATGATCTCGCTGGGTAGCGTGCCTGGTCTCTCTTTGGATCTCAATATTTTCCCACTAGATGTCCAAGACCTAGTGTTTTGGCATTAGTTTGACTCGCAAATGTATGACGTCACCATTTCAACCATCAACAAACGCATGGAACTAAAACAAAGCTTAATATAAAGAAAAAACTAGAGAGGTGACGGAATTACCCACGATGTCGGAATATACCGCTTTTACCCTACTTTGATGAGTACCTACTAATCAGCTTGATTTAAACCGAGTATGTAATTAGATCATTTATAGACGTGATAATGGATAGAAAATGTTGCCTGTCAGCCTGGCAGGCAGCAGTGTCAAGTCATAGGTGTGAGGAGTAAATTCATAGTGAAAAAGCAGAGTTTTTTTTAGATTCTTTCTCAAGTTTATTTTCGAGTCCTGTAACATAAGTAGACCAGGAAAGTATCATGGGTACCAGCAATGTCATATATAGGAAATTGGTTTAAATCTTGTAGATGAGGAAATTGAAAATAAACTAGTTGAAAAATCTGTGATTTGTGACTACGCTGGGTTATGATGATTTAAGAATAAATAAACCTGGATGAAACATTTCAACTTGCATAAGAAGACTTTAATTTAAATTCAATTAGCCCTGTATAATTTGGCTGATATTTTTTGAACTCTCTCTTTTGAACTCTCAGCCAAGAATTGTCAGCACAGGATTGGAATTTTTCTACTTGTTTCTGAAATCTTGCGGCCCGATCATGCACTTATGTTAACAATTAGATAGATGGTAATTTATCGTGCAGAAATCTCACAGTTCCGGAAATGGCGTGAAAGCTTTAGTGGCAGCACTAATGGTAGAAGTTTTCCATGCTTTGTCAAGCAAAGTTATTAATAATGTCAATACTTGAAGTCTTGAACTTTTCCTAGAATTCCATCTCCTCCCCAGAATATGCAGGGAGTAATTTGTCAGAGTGATATTTATTGGTGGCTAATATTTGAACTGGCATTATTTAATAACACCAGTTCAAATATTAGCCACCAATATATATCACTAAATATCAATAAATAAATATCAAACCAATTAACGGGATAACTGGGTGAAACACAACTAACAGACAACTCCCAACCAGTGTGGGATTCTAATTGACCAGTACACATGGCTTATTGGAATGCAAAATTTAATATAGTTTTGAAAGCTGGACCTGAAAGCTTGTAAAGGCCATGAACTCCCCACTTTCAGTCCATTATATTCAGATATGTAGGGTGATCTTCAGGCATGGAATATATCTACTTGGTGAGCCGTGACCTAATTTTTTGAGCTGTTTTATGGATTTGCCAGCCGGGATTCCATTTCTTTGAGCCTTGAATTTAATATCTTGGCCATGAAAAGCCATTTATGAGTACAAAGTCTGTGCATGTGTTACCGCAGATCTCCAATTTTACCCTAAGAACAGTCAAACAGCAAAACTAACATTCCAGAGTAGGTAATATTGCAAGATCTTTAATTGTATGATATTAGAGCTGCGATACTTCAGAGAAAAGTAGGACTTTTCCAGCCCTGACAATGTTAATACCATTTGTCTCTGGATATTTTTTCATTGATGGTCTTCTTTGCTGGAAGATAATCTCATTCACTGCGATATGTTTATAAGCATTTCCTTGTCTTAGCCTTCCCTGTTCATCAAGTCACGCCCTTGGTGACATCAAATGGCAAAGCTATATGAGCTCTGCCCAGACCCAGAAACCTCAGTCTTGAGCAAGGATTGCTGTCAGTGTAATGGGTTGGCATTACTGGTTAAACAAGGGAAGGTATTTAAGGTTCTTTAAAATCCAAGGGATTAAATAAGAGATAGCCTCCCAACTCCCCTTATAGCCATCCCTGTCCACCAAGTGATTTTTCTCTTTTTTGTTCCACTTTTTTTAATGCTAATACAAGACTCAATTATTAAGGAACTTGATAATCAAACCCAAGAGGGTGCTCTAAATAAAAAAAAAACTAACCAATTAACTGGATAACTGTGTGAAACACAACTAACAGACAACTCCCAACTACAAACTGGATAACCATATAACTGGGAAATCGGGGCATGGGTTGCTTAGATGAAAGTATTTGAAGACGCTTCTGTAAAATATTTACACTATCAACACCTAACACAACTATTATCAAACACAAATGTCAATACAAACTTCAAAGCATATATACGCAATAAACTATCAAGCAGGATAACAATTGAAAATATTTCTCATCTGTAACAGTATTATCAAAAACATGGCATTAAAATCTTATATCAATGAATATATGAGCAGTGATTAAAAAAGGTATATCATGGTAACTAATCACCAACCACAGGCAGTAGTGTTGAGTATAGGGTATCAACTGATAGGAGATTTGGTATTTGAATCACCACTGACACATGAAATAATGGTCTGCAAAAAGGGTGAAGAGAATGAGAAGGAAAGCACTGATGACGCAAATATAGATAACATTCCCCATGAAAGTCAAGATTCAAAATAACTTCACATTTACTCAGAACTGGGGGAGCAATACTTCCCAAAGTGGAATCCAGGTAACCACCACCCTCCAGCAGTAAGAGTGACAGCCAATAACATCAGTTTACCCCTGCTCCTGTCCATATGCTCTAGACATCCGTATTTCAACTGGACGCCAAAGAGCTCCAACTTACAAGTTTAGATCATCCTGAACTGTAAGCCAAACTTTTTTGTTGACGAGCAAATGCTTGCAGTCACTTGCTGCAGTGAGTACTAAGTTATATTTTTTAAATGTGGTAGCTTCAAGGCCAAAATCATGTGATAGGGCAAAATCATGCGATTGCCATCGCCAGAAATGACACATGAGCCTTACTGCTCTCTGAGTAACAAGATTAGTTGGGTTCAGGTAACGTCAACCCTCACGTTTTATGACACACAAACAGCACTGGCAATTGCAAATGGAGTTACATTTGACTACTTGCATAAATTCTATATTGTATGTTGAAGGTGTCAAGTCATTAAATTCTTAGTTATGGCCGGTTATGCCTGGCGAAAATATGGTATTTTCAGACACGATAGAACTCTGCCTAATTTACACTTGAACCTTACGGTGTGCATAGTCAAACGTTGTTACTGGAATGGGATAGTCGTCAGTTTATTTAAATTTTTTTATACTTTGGGTTGGGATATATTTTACTCAGCATTGTAACTCGGTTTTTCTCCCTGTTCAACTAAGTTTTTCTATTGTTTACTTAATTTTGTGGCAGCATCTCACTATTCTAGCTTTTTGCAGATGGCTCGAGCTGTGAAAGGCAAGCAGAGCGGTGCTGCCAAAGCCCGCAGTGGACAAGATAAAGTTGTGACACGCGAATGCACCATCAGATTGACCGCCCGCCTCCACCGCGTCACCAGACTCAAGCGAGCACCCAGGGCAGTAAAAGAGGTCCGCAAATTCGCCCAGAAGGAAATGAAAACCGAGGATGTCCGAATTGATCCTCGTCTCTGCAAATATTTGTGGCATAACGGTATCAGGTGAGAGGTGTGGCTACATGGGACAGCGAGTCATGTCAGTGATGTCACTCTCGTGGAGAGTTTCATCAAATTATATGAATCATGATTTTATACATGGACATTTTCATTAACGTTAGTGAACTTCCCAATTACCTATCTTTCTAATACTCATCCATGTCATTCTAAAGCAGAATATAATCGACTTATGCAGGCTCTGATCTCCAATGAATGATTTTATCTGATAATTTCTTCAAATAGATATCAGATAATTTATCGAATTTGAAATGTTTGCATAGTGCTTGACTTGCTTTACTTACATATATCGTCGAGGAAAAATACTGTACTTGCATTTCTTAACCTAAAGCTTACGATACTTACAGAATTAACTGACGATTTTAAACCTTCATTCATTGCTTCACTTAACGCAAATCTTTCATTAGATCACGAACCGTGTGCAGGCCGATTGAAGGGCAATCAGTGAATTTTTTTCATTGAAAGTCATATGTTTATCATGACTGGCAATTTTGGCAGAGGTGTCTCGCGTCCCTGGTTTTCCCCTCATAATTTATCTCATCTGATGGTATGTGTTCTTTTATTTTCTCGCCGTAAATTTACGAGCCCAGAGAACAATTCACGACCCTACCTTTTGTTTTTATTAACAATCAATGACGATGTTGTGCAGAGCCGTACCGAGGCGTGTGCGCGTGCGTCTGTCTCGTCGTCGCAACAAGGACGAAGACTCAGTGCACCAATACTACACGCTGGTGACGCACGTGCCTGTCACCTCCTTCAAGGGACTCACCACCGACAACGTCGAGGAAACCAACGATGAATAAATACACTCGTCGTCTGGAATTCTTGCTCTTTCATTTCCTGTGGTCAGATCAAAAAGAGTAACTGCTTTTTGACTTGGTTGTGATCTTAGATTGAAGACTTGATTATAATTAATTAGTTTGTCAGAAAGTAGGTTCAATTCATGAATTTTATAGTAGCAACATGAGCTTCACCTGGAATGAAAGAGTGGAAAAAATGCTTCTCACTATACCAGATTTTTAACCCGTTTCATCACGAGTTTTAAGCCTAAATATCGCTTGTGACGTGAGTGTGGATGCCAGTAAGGTGGTCCTGCCCTTAATCCTGCAGAGTAAATTAATCGTTGCCTCGATCGCTGAATGCTGATGATTGAAGGCCTTAACCCTCTACCTCCTGACATGAGTAACCGGAGCAATATTGTCACACGGCCCACACAAAAAGGATACGTTGCTAGTGAGCACGAAATGCCTTGCAATGACTGTTGCCGCCACGTACGAGAACGTTAAATTGTTCTCAGTAGCGTACAAACGTCCTCAGGTTGCTACTCATTAGTTTACGTATGATTTAAGTTAAAGTTATGTTCCCGGAGAGTGACGTACGGCGGTAGAGGGTGAATGCGCACCTCGCGGTCGTTTCGGTAGAACGCGAGTAAGCATTGTAAAGACTACGGTTCTCACTGTAGTTGAGGTAACTCTTTGCAGCCATTGGATTGTCTAGATAAGGTCCTGATGTTAGGTAAATCCTTGGCTAAACTCGTACAGTTTGCCGCAGTCACTATTAGTTTTTGTTCCCGAAAATACAAGATTCAAGACTTGTATGAGAGTTGATATTGTCGCATTAGTAATTACTACCCTAATTTAGACATCAAGCATTGAACATTTATAAACCTATATGATCGAAGTATATTGAATAACGCATTCAAGATACTATAGGAGCGAAATATAAGATAAGAGCAGAGGTCACAATTCAAGTAAAGGATACTAGCAGGGGTGGCCAATTTGACGTCCGTAAATTTGTCCGAGACGTACCAATTCGTGACTTTTCTATATGATCCAAACAATATTGATTTAATTTGTGTTTTATCCGGAATTAAATAGAGAAAGCGGCGATGATGATGATTTTAATAATCGACAGAGAATACATAATAAACAAAAATATTGTTAATTGTTGTGGGAAAAAAGGTTATACGTACTATCGGCAGATGAAACGAAAGGAATTACGCGTCCGGCTCCGGACTTTTTGTCTTACGTCACTTCATCTTCATCCACTGTTGAGGCAGTGCAGCAGACGTCAGTGATGAGTTTACCGTAGGCTTACGTGATCGAAGTTGTTGTTTTTATTTACCTGACTACGGCGAATACGATCCCTTCTATGACGATGGCTGCCAACGAGTCGGCTCACATAGTGACTTCTGTCTCAAGTTTGGATGGTATGATAAATTGATAATATATATTATCTCGAACAGGTTTTGAACTGTGTTATTAATGCGTTCACGACTTCACGTTCAGTGCATTTTGATTTGTGAGCTTGGGATCAATAAAATTCAGTGCTATATGTCTATACCCAGGAATTCACTAGTGCAACGCTAACTTTACCGGTACTTGATACTTGAATTTGTTCTGTAAGAAAGTAATCGGAACCTTGGTTCCTTTCACTGGTTAGGTTAAAATTTGTAGCTCGTTTCGACATAAACTTGTCGAAATCCGTATGCACTGAAAATTCTGACCATAAATCAATCATGGTGTAAAAAATAAAACCCTAAAGTGGTTAGGTAAACCTTGATAGTTGATAATCCTCATCGGCCCTGACGTGTCAACAGCCACAGCCTGTACTTTAGTTGATGTCTGTAGATGGTCGAATTCGTTTGTCAGGGTTGAACTAGTACCTTATATAGGTCAACATTATATAGTTCAACTATGTCGTTTGTAATCGTATCAATTTCACAAATATAAATCCACAGAATACGTTTGTAATCCTATCAGTTTAACATATGTGAACCCTCGGAATACGTTTGCACCTAATCGTTTCAATTTCACAAATGTGAACCCTATGCGGATCGGAAATGGTCAAAAATTTGAAAATGCAAAATTATAAGCAAAGTATCTTGTTTATGGCTATTTTTAACTCCGACATATATTATTTATATTTCAATACGCTTTTCGTTTGGGTTGACGGAGACGTTTCGTGGTCCGCGTTATACGTGAAGTCTTTTGGAATGAATTTCACAATGGATTTGCTTAAATAAGTAGGATAATTTGATCCTCTCCTAGATGATAGTAAATATTTTTATTATAAAGTCTTGTATCTTACTTCCATTTGAAACAGGTCAGCCACTAACTCATAATAGTAGGACACCAGCAAATGTATTGTTTTCACTCGTAAACTTCGGATTCACTATCCGTGCTTTGTAATATACCTACGAGTATATTACGTGCTTTGTAATATACTTATATGACTAATTAAACGCTCTCCTTCACGTCGAGAATTTTCATTTTGGTATAAGGATTTCTCGTTGAATTATTGTAAATTTATACAAGTAGCAATGACAGTGAAAATTTTACAATATACCGGTAATATGGAATATGTCGAACTGATAAAATGATACAAATGTGTAATAAATTAGTAAGGTAATTGATAATGCTGCCGTCAGTAGAACGATAGAAGCATTTATTTTATACATTTAGATTTACGCATAACTATAAGCTTTAGCAGCAGTGATACTGCGTTGATCGAAATGGATGATATTTGTTCTTGTTTAGAGATTAATTTTGCTGTTATACATGCCTCGAGAACGCTGGCAGTTCGTAAAATTTACGACCTTATTATGTTGGTCCGGTTTCTATAAAGGCACATAAAATTCGCCGCACCTCGATCAAACACTCGCTTCGAAATAGGAAACTTTTTTAATCTAGATTCTAAAATCAAATAAACCTGTGTTTCATGCATGATTGGACACATGTTATTATCCTAGTTGTATACACGCCATCTCTCAAGCCATTATTTCTGCTCAGTGAACACGAGCCTAGTGATCGCGGTGTGCGTTCTGGGCACCCTGGTGGGCGTGGGGCTGCTGCTGGTGGTGGTGCTGTTACTGCTACGTAGCGAGTGTTGCGGCCTCTCGCCCTGGCGTTGGACGGCGAAAAATCACCGCCGCAATCGCAGGTCAAGAACAGAGATGGAACTCGAGCAGCTGGCTGAAGGTGCCGACAACTTCATAACTGACTCCATGCTACCGGGCAACAGGACCGGTGAGTTAGACAAACTTCATAACTGACTCCATGTTACCGGGCAACAGGACCGGTGAGTTAGACAAACTTCATAACCGACTCCATGTTACCGGGCAACAGGACCGGTGAGTTAGACAAACTTCATAACTGACTCCATGTTACCGGGCAACAGGACCGGTGAGTTAGACAAACCGAAGTATTTTTTAGCAAACGTGCGTGCGTGTGACGTTTCATTTGTGGGTATTGCGAAAACTCGTATGCATCTAGAAAAGTAATACTGTCGGGCTGCCTAACTCGCAGTCTTCAGTTTAGCATAGGTAGAATACCAAGCCTGTCGCACAATCGTCTGAACTTAAAAGAAAAATACTCAACTTGAAGACTTCAACCGACGATTGTAATTGATGACCCTTATAATCGCTGATAATAGGGCCTATATTTTATCCATGCTGCTGTAAATTTCCCCCCTCTTTGAATGAATATGATGTATCAAAGCGGAAAAAATCGGAACTTACCAAGCTTCTGCGTCCTGCGTTTTTCTGTTCCAGATTAAACTGGCCGACGTGACGAGATGTCCCAGACAAAATAAAAGCGTTTCGTAACGTTTCATAATATCAGGGGACCAATTTTTGTGTTCGTAGGCAAAATAACCTAACATAACATAATGATGTCGGCGCTGAAATGTAGGCCTGATGTGGCCTGTCGCCGTTTGAAAATGAAAAAAAAATGGTTTTTGATATATACAAATGTATTCCTAACAAATCTTCCTATATCTCATTTTTGTCTCGTTACATTGGCCCGTGTCAATTTCGAAAAACTGTTCGAAATAGGAGGCTTGAAATATGCGGCTGATGGGCTGAGGCTTGTCTTTGCTTCTTTTTTAAGAGATAATTGTTAGTTTTCTAGTCTATTAATTTTATGAGAGTGAAATGACGGATTAAGCAGAGGAGAGATAGGCAAAAAAACTTGTGGATTTTTATGCTATTTGTGAAAATAATTTGATATAATTCGATTTATGCAAAAAGTTATCTCTTCATGGTTGAATATTTCTTTTCACTAAAACTAGGACTAAAAAAAATACGGGAGACAACCTTAATATTAATATTTCTGTGTTGATGAGCTGCATTTTTATTGGAAGCTTCGAACGTTCAAATTCTTCTTTACCTCTATCGTTCCTAGGCCTTTACTTCCCCAAGTGACCTAACTTAATTAAATAAATCCTGATATAACCCTCATTTAATCAAGTTATAAATAAACCTCGCTTCAAATTTACGCGTTACGTTTCTTGCTACTCATTAATTCGCGGTAACTGGGTAAGGAACATATTTAAGCAACATCTACCTTCATAGCATTGTCACATACTACTGTGTAGAACTGTAGTAGGCGTCAGAATCCATTATAAGAGTCTGGGTAATCAGATCCTGCTATTATTCATCGATGAAAATATGAGTCAAGAGAAAGAGTTACCTTATTGGTCAATCGTAACTAATGTGAGCTAATATCCCCTATGACTACTACTATGCCAGAAGTATAGAAAAAATATGATTATTTGTTATTGTTTCATCGCTGTGATTACTATAGCTATTCTACCCATTTCATTATTAACCGTCTCATTTTCCCGCCCTAACTCGCATCCTTTTCAGGCGCGTCAGAAAACCTTGGTATCCGCTCACCGAACCACTGCAGAATTCCTGCTCTTCGAATGCCAGAAGATTTCAGTCCCAGTCCTCCCTTCCCCCTGGGGGCGGAGAGACAGAAAGCGAGTCGTGACAGGCTCCCGTCCCCTCAACAAAACCGACGTTTGACCGCGCTGAATACTTTCGCTCCAAACACCATCGAATTGCAGGAAAAAGGTGCCGATACATTTTCAGGAACAAACTGTTCGAGGGTGAAACCAGTCAAAACTATTGGTTTTAGAGGGGAATATGAAAGAATCCCAAACACTTCTATGAGGGGTACAAGTGATAGGATCTGCAATCATCGAGTATGCAAGCCAAACGCGTCTGGAGCAGACGGTTATCCCGTGTCTGAAGACGACGCAGACAATCAGTGTAAAGGTTTTGGCCACAGTTACTACAAACCTGGGGGATTTTCAGCTTACATAGCACATACTATTTTCGATGTAAAAAGAACGCGTCACAAACCCCGCGGAGCCGACCGTAGGAACTCCAATTCTGTGTATGCTAAAATCCCTTCATGTTCTGAGTCAGATGATGACAAGAAAATGAAGCCAGATGAAGCATACAGAGCTAATCGCTCGGGCCGACTTCCTCGACAGACCAAGCATGAAAAAGTTCTCCCTGATCGTGCCGTGCCCCGAGACCGCGAGAGTCACAGACTGAGAGTTGTGCCTTGCGCTGCCCACCGTCAGCAGAAAGCATTGGTCGAAGATAGCCCTCCGCTGGCCAGCTCGAGCAGGAACACCTCGGCTGATGGCAGCAGGAGCACTTACCAGCGCTACGACTCTTTAGAAAGAAAGCCCCAGCAGCTGCAAGAAAAGTCGTGCAAAGCTCCTGTTGAGCGGGCAATGCAAGGATTTCCTGACCAAGTGAAATGTAAAGTTTTAAAGAGAAGCGGTGATACGGTGAACAAAGGACAACAGGAGTCTTCTTCCAGTCATTCTGATCTTCCACGCCTCCAAGTAAGTAATATTTCAGAACTCTGAACGTACATCTGTGACAAGCAAAACTTGAGGAATTTCAGTTATTTTTTTTCTCATCATAATAATTGATGCACAGTTCATATTAATACAGGATGAATGATTATCCCGTACAGTTGTTCTTATGTCCCTTCAGGGGGGACTTCTGACGGGTGTCTGTGCTCGTCAGAAGTCCTATGGGATTTATTTCGCGTTCCTAGGGGGATTGTCCCTGAGCGCCCCACCGATGAGCTCGCGGTGTCTGACTGCGGGTCTCAGTCGTGGGGGTTATTTTGTAGGTAGGATTCCTTGCATTAAGTTATTATGTAGGTAGAATTATGTAGGTAGAATTCCTTGCAATAAGTTATTATGTAGGTAGGATTCCTTACATTTCCCTTCTCTTTCTCTCTCTATAGTGCGGGCGGCCGACGTCCCGTGTAAGCGACCTCTTGTACGAGAGTATTCATTTTTGTTGCTTTTCACGTGTCCCTCCTTGTCACTTCGTTTCTTTGAGATGCTAACGCTGCTTCTTTCCAGCCAGCTTCAGCGAGCTGGACATCGGAAGCCTTCTGCCCCTTGTGGGTGCATGATGATTAATTTGAGACTTTGAATAAATATATAATTGAGACCTTCCGCATTGCTGGCGATGTTCTCTTTTGACCTCCTGTGCGCAATAGCTTGATAGCTGAAGCGCTAGCAAATCATTATACTACTACTACTTCTTCTTGATTTTATGTTTTATTTCATTCACAATAGTTAAACTTATTTCACTTACAGCTTTAATTTTTATCAGACCTCCCAGGCATCTAAGGAACACAGGTATCATCAAAACGTTGTTTTGGATGTCCGCAATTCTGTACAACCATCCTCATCCTTAGCGGGCGCTACAAGTTTCTGTCCGACCTCTCAAGAAACCACACGTTATTCCAATAATGAGATTCCGGTTGCTGACAATCCAAACATATGGGTAGAATCTTGTCCCAAGACTGACAATCAGCTGCCGAGTTTTCGTCCAGATAACGCTACTTCCTCTCACTCTGGACGAGCCTATATTTACCAAGGTCTTCGGAATGCCGTGAACGTTTCCCGCCCCGAGTCAAGCCTTTACAACACTCTGCCGAACTTACACGGCACGAGAAATAATGGCCGCGTCTCACTTCTGTACCATGGCAGTCCGCACTCGTCAGTCCAATCGCTGAAGCCTCATTCGAAAATGTTGGAAGACTCGTCTTCGTTGGGCGATTCGCGTTTTGTGCGTATATCAGCCGCCAACACTCCGCTGGATCAAAGAGGACAGATTCACCAGCCGGCTAGTGATCCTCATCCATCTTTGAGATCCCATCTCCAGCCAATGATGAATTATAGTTTCAAAGATTTGCTGCAGTCGGAAATTGCCAATGCGGAAGACGGAGAAAAGGACGACGTGAGTATTTTTTGAAAATTTAATAATTTATCCGTGCCATAAGAGTTGATTTGTTGTAGTCGTAACTGGCTACGTATAAGATTGATGGTTCTGTGATATTTGCGTGGAACCTCACGCGAATAACTAATTGAATTACTTTCTTCGGTAAATTTATTACCTTTGTCAAATTTACGCTTTCACAGTTTAACTAGATGATTAGTCATCTTTGCAATTTTATGAAAATACCCTTTGTTTTAAATTTTAATTACAAATCATTGCTGGAAGCTAGTCAAATATCCTTGAGTCCAGTGTAAGAAAATTGTTTTAACATTGCAGGCCGAAATAGCCCAGATAATATCCCTTCAGTCCATCTCGACAACTTCAACCCCATCGCCTCCGTCAGCAGCGGGCGCAGCAGCTGCTGTGGTCGCCAGCCACGATGCCGAAGACTCCACTCGCCTACAAGAAATCAAAGAAAGCCTTTCGTTGCTTGACTCTCGTGACATCGTTGACCCGACAACAGCGTCGATGTCATGGGATCATCTGACCCCTGACCCCTCTCCTGTGTACAACGTTGGTGCAAACGGCAACCGCGAGTCTCACTATACGCCAAGTTGCATCAAAACAAAATCGCGGTCATCCCAAGACTCATCTCATCTGCCTGTTCTGTCTGAAACTCACAATTTTTCTGATACTTTTGCTAGACAGTACGAACTTAAGCCGTTCCAGAAGTTTTATAGTTCATTGGATTCAAGGATAATCCTGGATTCAATCAAGGATATGGAACTTCCTACAGAAATAAACGAAGAACCGCGTCTATTTAGAAAACGCGAAGTGTTGGAAAATCCGACAAGGAAACTGAATGCTTTCGAGTTGGCAAGCAACCGCGCTGCTATGGAGGAGACTCGTGGACGCAGAGGTGTTGGGGTGCGGCCAACGAACATCAACAGTAGGTTTGCTTTCATCAGCGACACTCACCATCAGCCTGAAGAATCGTTCAATGATTCTCTTCGTCCTTCGAAGAAGCTTTTCTCTTCAACGGAAAACAGCTTCCAGAAAACCGACATGAGTTCGGGAACCACTCCACCATTTCTGCAGGACGCTGCCAAGCCCGGCAGTAAAAGCTACGTGGTGAGGTGATTTTCTTGCGTCGTCTAAACGCATTAATTTCCTTGCAAATGAATTATATCATTAGGATAAAAGAAAGTTGTTGATTTAGGAACGTAAAAAAATCTATATGAGCGCGATTGACGAAACCCAAAATCGCTTTATTCCTAAAATTTTAGTCTAGTCACTTAAAAGAGCTAGATGGGGTTAAAGTGTAGCAATTTTCCGCAAACAAAAACACTAACGTAATTCATAGGGCTGTGGACATGAATATATTATAGGTATTCGAATAAAGTAAATTAATTTAATAATATATATTTATTGTTGAGTAAGAATTTACTGGCTATCTAACTCATTACGCCTCATTTAATATCGCAGTCCGCGATACTTGTTGAGTTAAGAAATATTTTTTATTATAGAAATAAAGTCGTCTTACATTTTTGAATGACGATGTAAATAATATATGGAAACGTGAGTGCGTGGCTTCGCGCTCTGAATTAATGTATTTATTTGAAAAATTAATAAATTTATTTTCAAATTTGATGTTATTAATATTTAGAAACCAGCTATAATAAATGACTTTAAATTTTTTGAAAGTGTTATTGTTAATACCTCAAAACATCATAACTCAGTTAAGTGACTTTTTGACCTGAATGAGCGGAACCTTCCGTCCGTGTTTAATGGACAAATTTGTGCTGGACATGAATTATGGCGTGTATAATACAGTGTATACTATATACCGCCAATTTACACGGTATATATCGTATACTATATAATAATAGGCTTTAACGCGTTGTCCTACTCAGGGCGTCTCACAGAGTTCATGAGTCACTGATGCAGAGCTGTAAATGAAGTAACCTACAATATTGAGGCGCGCCAGCATCTAAGTTATCATTTCATGAATATCTAAGTTACTTTTTATGCGAATGAGACATCCGTTGCAATTTAACTTGCAAAGCCAAATCGTATGCAGCAAGGATTGGGCCGATAATTGCTGAATCTTCACGTTAAGGCAAAACAACGTCAATTTAGTAGAAGGGCAACTATATCGGGGTACAATTTTGCGCTATACCGGTTATATAGTGCCTGCTTTTTATTTTAATTATGACGGTTTGAAATTCTATGTTAATTTAGACTCCCTTGTTAACAAGCGCTCGTTCCCGTGATATTGTACAGTTTTTTTTTACTTTGAGAGCCCTTCCGTGGAGCGCCATTAGAATACCAAGGTGGTGGCAGAGAGGGTGGTGTTGAGGTGGTGGCAGGGAGGGTGGTGTTGAGGTGGTGGCGTGGAGGGTGGCGTGGAGGGTGGCGTTGAGGTGGTGGCAGGGAGGGTGGTGTTGACTGTTGAGGTGTTGGCAGGGAGGGTGGTGTTGAGGTGGTGGCAGGGAGGGTGGTGTTGAGGTGGTGGCAGGGAGGGTGGAGGGAGGGTGGTGTTGAGGTGGTGGCAGCGAGGGTGGTGTTGAGGTGGCGGCAGGGAGGGTGGTGTTGAGGTGGTGGCAGGGAGGGTGGTGTTGAGTGTCATTGGAGCTTCCCGTACGCAGGGTTCAGCATATTGGCACTGCTTGTTAGTGCAGCCGCTGATCATTTAGAAGCTTTATTTTAGTTCGCCCGTAATTTGTAACCACACATCATTCAAACACATTCACGACAAGCAAGAGGGGGAGTCGCTTGGATCACGGATAGAATTCTGTTTTAGGCCAGCCATAATGTTGGCTCGATGTGAAGTTTCATTTCCAATTCAAGGTGACTCGTTACGTTCGTTGTAGCGTCGAGTATTGTATGCATGTTATGTCTCTGTGCCACTTTGCTTATACTCTGGTCTGTTAATTACATTGTGTATATGGACATTAGTAAGTTATTACATGACACTTCCTAGACCTAAAACAAAGTGTAGTAAGTAAGTAACCCGCGCCATTGTGTACCTTATTTAATGGAAGCCACCACCTCGGGAAATGAAAAGTTTGCTGGGAAATATTGTCGACAACAAGAATTCTCATCCAAAATAGTATGTTAGCCTTCAAATGAACGAGTGAGCGAAAAAAAAAACAATTTTAGATATACAAGAATAGACACATATTGTCTTCTGGAGGATAATATATAATAGTGAGATAATCTTAAAACATTCATAATGTGACGAGCACAGAACAAGTCACGCTAAGACCATGCAGCTTCGAATTGTTTAGGAGCCATTCAGCTTAAAACTTGGGATGTTTACCAGGCAGTTAACTGGCCGTGTGTTGTCATCGAACAAAAGAAGTAACCTAGGCTTCATAAACGTTCAATTTAAATGCCAGAACGGCATTTTAAATTAACATTTCCGAAAATTTCGGAGCTAATGTTAAGCGGATAACTGGCGACATGGTTACAACAAGTAACCACGTTGTTCTCATCTTAAAAAGTAACCACATTGTTATTCTCATCCTGAAAAGTTCTCATCATGAAAAGTTTAGGATGAGAATAACCATTACGTTAACGAATGACAACTATGATAGAATAGAATAGAAGTGTCGGCGCTGAAGAAATAGGCCCATGGCCTGTTGCCGATTCTTGAACTTTTCGTGACTTGATTCACAAGGGATCCGGCCTTTGGAACCCGATCTTTCCATAGCTGACGATTGATTGAGATAGCTGCTGGACTTATTGCCTGGTCCGTAATTTGCTAGGCATTTTAAGACTGAACATATGCTCCTGCATAGCTTCGTCTGGACTTATTGCCTGGTCCGTAATTTGCTAGGCATTTTAAGACTGAACATATGCTGATTGTTAACTTGAGTTAAGATTTTATTAATTCAAGTTGATTCAGTTTCAGTGAAGTGAGTGAAAGCGTCTAAACTTTATAGGCGTTTCAAAAAATAATGCGTCCGTAGTATTCACTAAAACCGGAACGATCTCGAAGCCAACCGAGTAATAAAATTTGTACCGAAGCGCTACGGCTTTATCTAGCCATCTGCTTAATATTGGAAACATGTCCGCGCGTGAGGGGCTTAATGAAGAACCAAGCCCTCAAAAAGCTAAGGAATGAAGAAAACCGAACTTTATCGAGGCATTTGGGCTCTGTTAATGACTAGCAAGCTTCTTCAAATATCTGCAGCGATCATTCGTTCTGAAGTTTTCTTGATTGGTGGCATCTCTTATTGAAATTTCAAATGTGCTAAATTTCTAACCTTGGAAGTATTTTAAACATCGAATAATGCTGAGTATGTGGCGCTATACAGGGTTTTCCTTAACATAAACCACATTAACTTACTGCCGATGAGCACCATTTAAGTCACTGCAGTCAGGCCGCGAAAATGAGACCTGAGCGGAGTACTCAACACAGAACTTAGTCAATAAGCTGATTAGTTTGATCGACTAACGGCCAAGCACAAAAACTTAGTAATTTGTTCATTAAAGTCCGAATATGATAGTATCGAGTCAGAACTATAATTATACACCATTTTCATTTTCTCAAAATTCGTTTTTTTTATTTGCAAATGGCTTCTCTTTAGCAGCCACAGAAACAGGACAAACGTGTTCCCAGTTTTTCTGTCATTCGTCTCTTAAGAGAAACTGATCTTCATAATGTTATTCAGACTTTCAAGCGATAAATTTTACTAAGCACATATTGTTCTTAGATTGATTTGATTGGCACAGTCGGGATCTGAAGAAAAAATGGAAGTTTGGAGAGTTGATGGTGGGGGTAAGTGCGGCATGCAATCATTTAAATCTAAAGGAATCAGTTTCATTCGAACGTACAAATCAAGAATTATCATGAAGACACATTTGAAACAGGTTTAAATTCAAGCTTATTAATATTCACTGAATTAAAAATGCATCTTCATGATAGATTCTTGTGATTTCGTACTTTTTCTGATTGATTCGTACGTTCTGTGATTTTTTCTTGAAATATTCTTCATTCCGTGTATATGAAGCAAAAAATTATTGGTGTTTCAGAGTAACAGCTATGTCCCTACGACGACGTTAATTGATTCCTACAACCAATATTTTCTTATGCAGGGTGTGAACTATTCTCTTGGTCATATCATCATTGTTACCCACAAACTTATCATACAGACTCCTTCGTCACCTCTCATTTTTCCCGCCCAACCCTGCCGGCAAAGGCTTCCGTCGTTCGCCCCTACTTCTTCGCTGTGCCGCTCGCTGTGACGGTCGCTGCAACCGTCATCAGTGCACATTGAGCGTCTGAGCGTGGAGGTGTGACACACATTTGCTTTCGTCGTGTTTCCGCCTGCTGCATTACTGCTCCTTCACAAGGTCATTTGAAGTTCAGTCACAGTATCACATATCTTCAAGACATCATCTATTAAAGGTAAGACTTCATGAAATGCCATCGTGCCGTCCTTCCAGAGTTAATTTCCCTCTTTTTCGGCGAGGATCGCTGTAGGATGGATCCTGATTCCTATTTCCTGGCATCGCATGCGGGACTAATTTGTTGTCCCGCAGCCGATGTGGTGTGAACGCTGCGTTATCGTGACGTAATAACCTAACTACATTGTAAACTTTCGATTCTGCATCGTTCACATCATTGCAGGTCTTAGCAACTGCCCATGGTTCCAAGTTCCAACGAGTTAGGTATTGTAGGCAGTAGGGTACCTATTCGCCGAGAAATATTATTTAGGCAACTATTCCCATTACATAGTTTTCATTAGCTTGGACATCTGAGCCCACAAAATTCCTTGCAGATGTTCTTATTTGTGGAATTATTTTAATTATGAAAATACCTACAATTATCCAGAGAGTCGGAGATTGCACCACCAAACCTCGCGTGTTTCAATATTAGACGTCAAAAGGTGACTGAATCGTCTGATGGAAAGGGCTTCTGGACTGGTGAAAGTTGTCAAATCAGTTCCGCTGCTTGTCTAGAACTTCAGTATCACGTATATTTGCAGTTTTAAATTTAATTTTTAATCTCCTGTAAAGATAACGAACTTTATGTATCAAAGGAACTGCATAGCTTTTATAGATTTAGTTTGCTGAACAAATTTTGTTAAAACTTGATTGATTCTAAATAATATTTACTGGAAACAAATCTAAGCCCCACATATTTTTCTTTCACGACGAAAGCATTTAAAATTTCAATATACTGTATTCCCTACTTTTCTGCTATTGTTGATAAACTAACCTCGCTCCTTTCAAAGCGGGTGTTTTCGGGACGCGTGTTCTCCATCTAACGATGTTCTGAGATACGTACAAGAAGAAATGATCCCTGGGTATCGGATCAATGCGACGGCAATACGCTGACATATCTCAATATTATATTTTTATTTCGGTTATCTGTTTTGGTTAATTATTGGAAATAAAAGGTATTTAGCTGCATCCATGCTAATGATATTTGTTCAAAACAAAATAATTGTTTCATGACATAGCCGGATTGATTTGCCGTTGAAACGCCTTTGATCATTAACGTTGTTACAGCTTTTTAGCGCATTTTCTCATTTATGAAAGAAAGACGCTATTGTGCTCGCCATGTCCTGTCCGTCTGTCCGTCCGTGACCTCAAGTTTTCTTCGAAGAGAAAATGCGCTCTCTGTCACTCACTGCAGTGAATGCTGAGTTATATTTTTTCTGTAGTGGCATGCCGGAGCTTGATTGTGTTGCAACATTACATGTTCCTGCCCACGAAACGTTCATTGCGACGCCGATTGTTGTTCGACTGCAACATTGCCGGTCACGTCATCGGACGTGACTGAACTTAAGATTCTTGCTGCTGGTCTCCATTGAAGGAATATGGAGATTAATTAACACTGAAATTTGCTGAGCCTGCATTTTTATTTTCTACTTTGTTTTAACCTCCCTATTGTAATAAGACAATCAGAAATATTCATGTATTATTTCAATTGAATGTTGGCATGAAACTCACGTGTTCAAGATAATATATTCATTTCTTCATTTGTGAATAAATGGCAGAGTTAGCGATGCCATGAATAAGTGATTCGGCTATTCAACATTATTTAAATGTCTTCATTCTGGTATGCAATTATTCAAAGTTAATTTGTAATTCGGTGACGGAATAGTTATCTTGCATGATGTAGACGAGCTTTTTGACTACAATACGTGGGCTAATTGCGCAATCAGCCTTAGAGATTGCGAAGTTCACATTCACAACTCAGTTTGTTATTTTGGAAAGAATTAACCATTTTATGATCACAACACTTTGTGAAATATTGTTCTCTGATGACTCAGCTTTCTATGCACGACGCTCAAACATTTTTTTAATCACAAATCATGTTTAAACCTAACTCATGTCCAGGCCCTGCAATATGTTCGCGGGAGCCATACTTTAAAAATTCGCTAAGTGAACGTAAGTACTTACGCTCAATTTTCTTGTCTATGATTGGTGGATTTTGCTTGAAAGACCGTCAATGATTGGCTGATTAACTTACGATCTCTTAACTTTTTTTGAAAGTATAGACCCAGGCTTCGAGTCCAGCAGAACCTCGACAGGTTGCACAACTCGCGTGGTGTAGGCGTCCTCGTACAAGGAGCGTGCGTACCGCAACGCTTGCCGTGCTGCATGCAACTCTGCATACTTCGCGGTTGCGAGCAATCACACAATCCTGATTCTATTGCGTTATTACGTTGCAAT